GGTGAAGTTTTGCTGTAAGCAGCATTAATTCAGTTTCAGGTCAGGGATAAGATTGGGGGAGGAATGGAAACAATTTTATTTTTAAAGAGGAAGCTGTTGTGTGGTACTCGGATTTTTAATTATTCTAATCGCTCTCGCTATTGTAATGGTTGGAATTTAAAAAGAAAAAAACCCCAACCTCCCGACGTGCAGCGTCTCAGTGCTTAATCCTACGTCAGCCACGCAAAAAGGTTCTCCTGCTCTGAAAATTGCTGGGTTTCATACCCCTGCTATCTCTGCCTCCTGCCTCCAGGATTTTGTGTTTTGTTCTCCCCCGTTCAGCAGCTTACCGATGAGAAAACCTGCATGCAGTTCTCCATCCGCCGTCCCAAGCTGCCCTCCTCGGAGACCCATCCGGAGGAGAACGCATACAAGCGCCTTGATGTGTCTGCCTGGCTCCGTCACCTGAATGAATCCGGGCAGGTGGAAGAGGAGTACAAGCTGCAGAAGGTGAGGGGTGGCTGCTGTGGGGTTGGGGTCTCTCTCTCCTGCCGCCGAGGATGAGTCCTGGGGTGGAAGCTGCAGGAGTTTGCTTTCATGCTGGGGGCAAGAAGTGGGCATTGGAGGGTGTGAAGACTGGCGTGTAATGCTTGGCTGGAGGTCTGGCCGGGTCTGCGGATGAGCCGGCTGCAGGCAGGGTGGTGGAGCATCTCCCCAGCTACAGGCAGGATAATGGAGCATCTCCCTGTCTACAGGCAGAATAGCGCAGCATCTCCCTGTCTACAGGCAGAATAGTGGAGCATCTCCCTGTCTGGAGGCAGGATAGTGGAGCATCTCCCCGGCTACAGGCAGGATGGTGGAGCATCTCCCTGTCTCCAGGCAGGATGATGGAGCATCTCCCTGTCTCCAGGCAGGATGATGGAGCATCTCCCTGTCTCCAGGCAGGATGATGGAGCATCTCCCTGTCTCCAGGCAGGATGATGGAGCATCTCCCTGTCTCCAGGCAGGATGATGGAGCATCTCCCTGTCTCCAGGCAGGATGATGGAGCATCTCCCTGTCTCCAGGCAGGATGATGGAGCATCTCCCTGTCTCCAGGCAGGATGATGGAGCATCTCCCTGTCTCCAGGCAGGATGATGGAGCATCTCCCTGTCTCCAGGCAGGATAGTGGAGCATCTCCCTGGCTTTGTAGGGTGAGGTGTCCGGCATCTGCTGTGGATTGGAATGAGTAAACCCGTGTCCAGCGCTGGACAGGTTGGCAAAATGCGGTGTGAACAAATCACAGGGAGAAAACCTGAGGTTCTGCCTGAAGTAGGGCGGGCTTGGGGGAGCGCTGGCTCCTGAGAGAGGAGTTTGCAGTGAAATGCAGTGTCTCCAGGATTGGGGATTAAGCCGTGACATGAGAACGACACGTTAATCATAGAGCCTCTCCAGGGGGGGTTATTGACATTGAAATGAGCCCGATTTGTGTCTCGTCTGGGAATAGAAGGCCAGCACTTTCCCTCTAAACATGTGCAAATTGCAGGAGCTTGAATCAAGGCGTCACTTGTCAGGAAAGAGCTGCAAAGCCACAGCAGCGGGCAGTTTCTTGGTGCTGGTTTTGGGAACGTTCAAACTGCACCAGTTGCAACTTTTGCTCCTTCTTCCAGGCTATTTTCTTCGGTGGGATTGATGTTTCCATCCGTGGGGAGGTCTGGCCCTTCC